CCACCACATACATTTATAAAGCAGTTTTGGAGTCTAATGCCACTGGAAAAAAAAGGCGGGTGAAGTGCCTGGTCATGTGACCTGTCCAGCTCTCATCCAATCACAGAGCTCTCTCTGCTCTTCTTAAGCAGAGAAGACTCTGTTGGGCTCTGCCAGCTGCACACTGTGGCCCTAATTTTATTAGTGGGATGGGCCCACAGAGGTTATGAGATTTGAAACGGCTCTGCCACACAGCACAGTGTATTTTTTTAAAAACAAAATTCCCAGATTTCGGCATTAATGTCGAGGTTAATATGAGGCTTAGTGCTACCTTGCATTCTAGAAAGGGTTCCTGTGAGGGGGGATTAAGGGCACAGCATTGCTCACTACCCTCTGCATTGAAAACTGCCAGCACCAAGGTTCTGATACTGCAAGCGACATGTTGCCATTTTCGGTAGTGTTTTCTTTGCGCTGCATTGTTCTATTTTTTTTTTTTAGCCCTATTCAGTCTCGTTTGCTTTTGTTACTCTATTTCTGAAGATTACAATACACCCCAGACACATGACATGTGCAAGGAATGACATTCAAATACATCTGAGGAGCCCCTGCATATCCTCTCCTGTTATAACATCAGCATTGTAACAGGAATACATAGAGGAGTTGTCTCTGATGATGCAATCAAAGCTTACTTGAAAAAATCCCTTTTATGTAGTAAGTGACGCCTTCCATCTGCCCATCACTTCCAGCAACCTCCTGGATTCCCAGTGTGCTTTGTGTCTCTTTCCCTGCTGCTTGAGGTGATGCAATCTCCATTTCTCAAGACTACACATCCCATCATGCATTGCTTCCAGCCAGCAATGACAATGTTACATAGAGATGGAGTTGTAGTTCCGGAGGCAGGCTCTGTGAGAGTGGTGACAGAAGAAGTACATATTCACGGGGGCTGAGTGAAATGGTGTCAGTGCATGGAAAGAAGTCCATCCTATGGGCATCTTCAGTTTACAAACATCTAGATTGATATGGTTATCAGGAGTGGGATAGAGCTTATGGAAATTAAATATAGAAATACAGATTTAGTTTTAGTTTTTCCAGCATAGATGCCTTTTAATGCCGGCAGTGCCTCTATATTCTTAACACCCCCCCCAAAAAAAAAAAAAACAACATCCCTTACAGTGGGGTGGCCCCTGCACTGAAAGGGTTAACTGCTAGTTAATGCTTAGAATAGCTGTGTAAAGGACTTTTACTTACCTGATCCGAGCTCCGGCAGGCTCCAAGACTGACTCCCCCCTGCTCCG